CTCCCACAATCAGCAGGAGATTGGCAGTGTTGTTGTCTCTCTGTAAAGTGAAGTGTTTTCAAATGAAATGCTGATAAGTTACTGAATTTTTTTTTTTTTCCTAGAAAATAAAGTTCTATAGTTGAGAGAGAGTGACTGGTTCTTTGACAGTTATTTATGGTTTGTTTGTTTTGTTTTTTATCTTTATCCTTTTTATATTTTTATTGTCAACCTCACATTCAATCAAGTCAATTATAAACAACCAATTGTGTTGCACAGTTGTGAAGTCAGTGGTATAATCCACAGCAGGAATATTAGAGGTGGTTTTTTTTTTATAGATTATTTAATTATTTATTGGACAGACGACAATGGGCCGTTTCTAGCTTTTTTGGGGCCCTATGCAAAATCTCGTTGGCCTACCTATAGTGCAGAGCACATGTAACAAACAGGGTAATGTACTGTTCATTAGCACTGTCTTATTTGTGTCTCACTAAATCAGTTGTACATACTGTAGTGTTCAACTTCTATTTGTGGACATGTTGCTATGGTGTTCGTATGTGTGTAATGCGTTGTTATCAACTGGCATGATGACAATCGGCAAGCAACGACATGGAAAAGCTTGCCACTTTTTGTAAATGGTAAACCGAACGCAGCATTAGTGCACTATAAGCTACACATTGCTAGGGTGTAAGCAGAGGTCCTCGTTGCTTTGTAGCCCCACCCAAATAAATGATCGCCTGCTGAACCTGGCCTTAAGTCTGTGTGTGTCACCAATGTTTGTGTTTGAGCAGCGCAGATTCCCCTCCCTCACTGTGATTCTTAATGGATATGGCTCATTTAAATTTAGCCTGTTTGAAAAGGTGGTCAGTCAGCAGTTCATCAGGATCATGCAGGCACCTTCTCTTTGATGTAAGTGTAGTTTGACGGTCACAGTTGAGAACAGTAAACTCTCTCCTGTCTGCAGAGAAACTGGCCAAGAAATATCAAACATTCAAGTTCAAGGCTTACACCGTATCATGTGGCTGTGAGTAGTCTTTCTCAAAATGAGCTATGGAACAAATGCATGATTTTGTGTGTGTGTGTGTGTGTGTGTATATATGTGCGTGCGTGCGTGCGTGTGCGTGTGTGTGTGTGTGTGTGTGTGTGTGTGTGTGTGCGTGTGAGTTTTCTGTCACATTTAGCAGAGATCAGCACTTCCCCCTGCTGGCTGTTCTGCAGACCTGCTGGAATTAAAATATGTCCTTTGAAGCCTCAGAAACATTGCAGAAGCAGAGAGAAATATTTTTCACCTTACGACTCTCTTTATAGTTGTTTTTTTTTTAAAGCAATCCTAAATGTAAACTCAAAGGTGTGCAGTGTAGGAGTATATAACTATAAATAGTTGTTAAACTACCACATTATGTTTCACTTTGATTTTCGTAATAAGGGCAATTACACAGTTTTATATGACTATTAAAGTTTAGTGCAATGGTAATGATCATAGAGCAAATGCATTAGGGATTTCACCGGTATACCGTCCTACACTGAGGACTTATGGAGTGAGAGAGAGACACACACAGAGAGAGTCTCTTTGTATTCCACCTGAGACACTGTGCCTCCATATTGCAATTTCCTGTTTGAGTCTTATCTAGAGCTACCTGGAACTGCGCTCCGGCAAAGCCTCACACAGCCCCTCTGCTCACCTGCTGCTACTCCATCTCTGTTTCCATTTCTCTCTCTCTCTCTCTCGCCGTCTTTCACCCTCTCTTTCACTCCTCCATTCTCATTTCCAGCCTCCCTCCCTGCCTGTGCAATGTCATGATTAGTATGCTAAGAACCAGTAGAGCTTTACCTGGACATCAGTCACTCAGACAATCAGTCAGCTGTCTCACTGTCAGTCAGTCGGGTGATCAGTCCCCCAGCTCACGCTCTTGTTGAATTACTCATTCAATTGCTCGGCTGATCGCCCAGCCACTTACTCACTCAGTCAGTCATCTTTTTTTTCTTCATTTATTTATTTATTTATTTTTGTTTGTTTTTACACTTACTCCGTTGTGCATCCCAAGAAAAAAAACACATTAGAGGGAACAGGGTCTACCTCCTCATGTTTTTATTTTCCCAGCCCCCACTGAAGAACGGCCTTCGGGTCATTTTAGCCCTCACGCTGAACTACTTGTTCAGCGCTTGTTTGAGCAACTGCTGAGTGCTCTCCAAGACGGAAAAACAATCTTGCGTGATGGTGATATTTCGCCAGAAAGACAAGGTGGAAGGTAGCTTATTTCTACTGACAGTAACCCTCAAGACTTGGGGCTTTTAACATCTGTATAGAAACAGAATAATTGATGTGACACTTCCAGCCAGATGTTACAAGATAGGTTTACACTAAAGTGTTAAAACTGAACATAACACTGTTCACTAGAGTTCTTTTTTTCTTATGGTAGTTCTTATGCCACATGTGAACACCCCTTTGATTCACGGTCCTGAAATGGTCACCAGGGCAACAGCAGTCGTGTTTTGCCTTCAAAGGAAAATAAAATTCTGGCTCTTCTGCTATCTGATATTTCCCTGTTTTCATTGGCACTTTAATATATATATATATATATAAAAAAAAATCAAAAGCTTTTCATTAATTGTTGCAGAGAGAGTCAGATATAGAGAGATACAGAGTGGCAAGTAGAGCAGAAGACTGATCCCCCTGTTTCTCCTATGATTACATTCTGTTCAGGCCCTGTTGCAGGGAGAAAGAGGAAGACCAAGCTTCGGCCACAGAATATGAATTTTATATCTGCAATGCAGCCGAGAGGTACCTTCATGTAACAGGCAGCCTGACTTGGCACTGATAATAAAGATCTCTCTTTGTGCGTCGGCCTGAATTCTTGCTTTAATGTTCACCGACAGCATTGACATGAATTTTATACCATTGATGCACTTCACTGCACTTTTGTTGGTCAGTTTGTCATTTTGTGGTGTGAAAGTTATCATGCTTGCATATCTGACATGATCATTATCATCCCTAAATCATAACACCAATCATAACACGTTTCTGGATCCAAACTGGCGCGTGAATATTTATTATTATCAAAGAACAATGACACAAATAAAAAGAAACTCTAAATGATTGAAGTAAACGTGTGTTGGGCTGTACAGTATGTGGTCAAGTTCCGGCTTGTTGTAATGAAATATTCATGGAGCGGTGCACATTTCAGTCACAATGGGGCCACACTGAATGAAAGGTCATTAAAGTCTCACCCAACAGCAGTGTGATGAATGAGTGGATAAATGCTGACAGGTGCTTTGTATTGCCTAATCATTAGAAAGGTTCCACAAAGTCATAGGATGGAGGCACTTTTGTAGGGTTAATTTATTTAAGTGTTAGACTCATGAATTAGCTGAAGTTTATTGCATCAGAAAATGAATGGATGAAAGACATTATTATACCATGGTGGAACACGAGGTGTAAACTCACCATACATTACTAGGCTGTGTCGACTGTGCAGCCACTTTCTAATTTTCCGAATTAAAAAAAAAGGAAGAAAATCATGTACTTCATGAGTAGAGTGACCTTTTTCTCAGGATAAATTCAACTCAGTTAAAATACAAATTAGCTGTTAACGGTAGGTGCCAACTTGGGGAAAAAAAGTACAGCAACAATAACCTATCAAATTGGTTAAAACAAGCCCTGAGGCCACAACAAGCCGTTGCCAAGCCTGATATTTTTTGTTACATTTTCTGCCTAGACCTGGCTCAAGAATTAAATGGTCTCTCGATATAATGACACTTCACTATAGCCCCAAGGCATGTAAACATCCCATTACATTATAGCTGCTCTCACTTGATCGGTGCAGTGTTTATTCTCAGTGTTTTCACCTCTTCTCTGTGTGTGCGCGCGCATGTGTGTGTGTGTGCGGCTAAAGTGTCCTTAAAAGGGTCAGGTCATCCAAATTACAAACCCATATTTTCTCTTTTAACCCATAGTGGTATCGAACCACTAGGTCCACATAGCATCGAAAATGCATCTGAAAGCATCTGCTCTCTTACTCTGGAAAAGAAAATATTTTCTGAGTTACCTTTTATTTAACATTCCAACTACTATAAAAAAGTTCTTATAAAAACTTGCATAGAAACAGCAGCACACCATAGAAAGCACGAAGTGTTTGCTTTTCCTTTTGTAATGCTGGATTGTTTTTCCTCTTTGGGCCACAAAAAATGATACAAATGAAAATGCCCAAGGAGGGAAAACACTCTTTAAATCAACTGCTCACAACTGTTAGACACCATGTGGCGAGGGGTCACAAGCAGTCAAAGACACAAGCAAAAAAAAAAAAAAGATTTGAGGACCGGTGATCCTGAGTAATGAAGACACTGTTTCTGGAAAGAGATGTTGATTTCTTTAAAGTCCAGTGTGAAACCAGTTAAAAACTTGAAATTTGGGGCACGACCCTCCTCATCCACAGGGCAAAGTGACATCCTCAGCGGATCTCTTCATTCTCTAAGGAACATATGGTGCAGAAACACTCTTTGACTTGTGAGGAGCTTTGTTAATTTGGTATGCTGTCTGTCTTTCCGCTATGAAAAACCAAACTTAAACCTACACGGAGCTGTACTGACACCTAGACCTGTATAGAATTGGATGTATTGATTTGGATAATTGCTAACCTCATCCACGATGACATCAGAAGACTGCAATCAGATCCCAGAAGCCTGAATGCGACGATGGGTCTTTGAAACAAGGCCGCTAACCTATAATTTCTCATTGATCACTTCCACTCTTTCTATCTATCCTGTCCCTTTGGATTAGAGACAGAAAAAAATGGAGCTAAGCCCACCTTCACAAACTCACCTGGACAATACAGCATCAAGGAGATCAAAGAATAGAAAATGGCACAATGTCAATATGACATTTTGTTGCTTGAGGCAACATGGCATTGAAAAACAGCTTAGAGATTAGTGTGTGGGGGGAATCTGTTGAATCCAGACAGCTCAAGGTCATACAATAGTTACAAACGCACATAAAGAAA